CTGAAAACGTATCCTTTTTGTATATTACGATATATGTATGTTTTATGTATGAAGGGTGAATCAGAAGTTTAATGACTTTAAAACTTTCATAAATTTTTACATTAATTTCTATTCCTTTGCTGTTTACTTTATTTTATTTTATTTTATTTTATTTCTTCGTTTTTTCTTTTTTTCTTTTTTTCTTCTTTTTTTTTCCAAATCGTAAAGCCTAAAAAAAAATAGAAATATTTTTACAATTTGAACAGGATAATATTTCTTCCCTCACTGTGTACGATAACACTTTTTTTTTTTTTCTTTTTCTTTTTCATTTATATATTTTCAACAAAAATAAAAAAAAAAAAAAAATAAAAAGAATCCACTTAGAACATTCGTGCATATGACATGGTATTGTAATTTACAAATGACATGATCGAAGTCATACAAATAAACTGTTAAAACCATTGCGTCTGTGAAGTATTTACAAGTTAATCGTTATTAAGTGGGCTTTCCAAATAAAAAGGAAAAAAAAAAAAAAAGAAAAAAAGAAAACCGAAGTGGGGAAGAAAAAAGAAAATTACATAATATAGACAGTAAAATGCATATGATCGAAACTTTTCGATCGTAGATAATTATGGCGTTGTATAAATTTTAATTTTTCTTCGAGATAAAACGTGAGAATTAAACAATTGAACTTGTTAATCCATGAAAATTTTTATTACAAAATATTAATCGGAAATAATATTGAAACTCAACACTTTTATTATTATATATATTTCTATTTTTATTATTATTTATTTATTTTATTTTATTTCATTATATTCGTTGGATATTTACAACAAAGATATTATCATTGGTCACTTAATAATCAATTTAATGATACGTTTGATGAAAATATTCGATGTGATCAATAAATAATGTCGGTATTATTGATTTTTTTTTTTTCTATTCTAACGAATAAATACTTAAATTAATCTTCTTCTATTAGTATAAATAACATGAGTGTTCTGCAACCGAATAAACGGGAATAGTATATTTTTTTAATATGAATGATACATTTATTTGTATTATTTTTACTAATATTTTTTTATGTATTACTTTCATGGTATATTTGATTTGATATTATATCGTATACTTTTCGATGAAATAATATTAGTATTATTTAATATAAATGTAAAATATTAAAAATTCTTTATAATAAATGTAATAATAAGTAATATATATATATATATATATATATATATATATATATATATATATATATATATTTGTATGTTGTTAGAAAGACATAATAATTTATTATTTAATTAAATTTAATTATCTCTTATTTCTCTTATTTTCATTAGGAATGATGAAAGCTCTCTATGCAAAATATATTTTGCCATAAGAAACTTCGTAAAATTTTATAAACTAATATAAAAAAAAAAGAAAGATAAGAATTATGTATATATATAGTTATTTCAGAAGATAACATAATTAGAGATCATTAGGTGGAAACATTTGACTTGTAGTCTTCAATCCCTCGAGGGAATTCTTTTAACACTAATTTAAGATACATTCTTAAGAAGTATTAAAACAGCTTAAGAATTATTATAACAAAACTTAAACGATATTAAAGATATATATATTTTTTTTTAATTTTTTAAGCATATTTTTTTTAAGCATAGAAAATTCACTTCAGATCAATTATATTGTCCTTAATAAAAATCAATAAATAATCAGACTGGGAGCGATTATCTTGAAAGATTCGGATCGATGCAAATCCACTCACGTGATTCACGATCGTAAAGAAATTCCATCGACAGTTCTGAGGGTTTGTTAATAAAAAAAAAAAAAAAAAAAAAACAACATCAATAATAATAATAATAATAATTAAAAAAAAAAAATTGTATTTGGTTAATACGGCTAACAATTATTAATTTAGAAAACAATTTTTTTGTTTTGTTTTGTTTTGTTCCCTTTTAATGTTCCTAAAGGATATTTTTAATTTAATAATTTTTCATAACTCTTGTAAACATTTGTATTTGTCGGTTACGGAAATAAAACAGGAATTTCATTTCCACTGTTCAATCGGACGAATGCAAAAGGAGCGAGAAATTCGGATCGATACGAACACGAACTTAAATCTCTGCTCGCATCGCCAGGATTTGAAGCTAACAAGATTAATCGTAGAGTTAATACCGGAGCCATTACCGAGACTGCTTCGTCGTTAAACAGTTTCCGTAACCTGCAAGATGCCTGCTGGATTTAATCGTCCATCGGCCTATGCCAATTAATCTCTACATGTTGTCATAGCAATTACCTAATAGATTCTACAAGGCCCTACGATGTTATATATTAGAACACGTTTATCTATAATACAAATCGATTTTCTTATTGATCACTTTCAATTTTATTCCTAGTATAAATTTTTGTAAATAAGTCTTTTCTTTTTTTCTTTTCCTTCTTTTTCTTTTTTTATCAAATTTTATTATCAAATTTTTATCGAATGCTATTAAATTGTTTTTTCATTTATACTCATCTTTAAAAAAAAGATATTGACAGCGATATATCGCTTTTTAATTAATCATATTTTTCCTTTCCTTTTTATTTTTTTTTTTTTTCTTTTTTTATTTTTTTATTTTTTTATTTTTTTATTTTTTTATTTTTTTTTTTTTTTAAGTAATTCGAAAATATGTATATATGCGTGAAATTTATTCATAGATCTCATACAATGTTATTTTGGAAGTAATGATTTCTGTAAATAATCTTGTGCTCGTTCAAAAATTTGCATTTTTTTTCTTTTCTTTTTCTTTTTTTTTCTTTTTTCTTTTTTTTTTTTTTTTTAATCTATCAGCGATACACTTTTATTCAATTGATCCTGTTTTTGATATAATCTTTTTTTTCTTTTTCCTTTTTTTTTCTTTAGAATTTTAAAGTAATTTGAAGTACTCGTGTACGTGTAAAATTTATTATTATTATTATTATTATTATTATTATTATTATTATTATTATTATTATTATTATTATTATTATTATCATTGAATATTATATTAATATTTTATGTTTTTAGTTTATATGTATATTTAAAAATTTTTTTATAGGATTTCGAGGACGTACCAAAAAGTGCAAGACACGTTAATTCATCGTGGCTGGAAGAATCGGCTGCATCATCGGAAATGAAAGATATTTATTCGTACGCTGTAACATTAGTTGCGGATTATTGCGACTGTTCTTGCACCTGTTCCTATCAATGATAAGAACGAGCTACTTCAATTGAAAATATCCTTTGTCATTTTCTTGATTTTCTTCACTTATTCCGACGGGCTTTTTATCTCGATATTTTATTATTACGGAAATCTAGTAAATATTTAATAAATAAATTCGAAATTGAAGGGACTAACGATGGGCAAAAAGAAAAATGTGAAAAGGATGAAGACAATTTAAAAATTTAAGAAACAAATACTTATCGAGTATTTTTTATTATTATAGAAGTATTCAAAATTCAATGTATTTTACGACGAGTGATAAAATATGATAAGTGATATATTTTAAAATTTAAGAGAAATGATTACTAACTTGGAATATATATATATATATATTTTTTTTTTTTTTTTTTTTTTTTTTTTTTTTTTTTTTTTTTTTTTTTTTTTTTTATAACATATTGATATACTCATTTTATGATTATATTAATTATTTTATATTTATATAATGTGAAATTAAAGAACGTTCTAGGAGATGCCGTAAAAGTTAAAATCCAATTTAGAAGCCATTACGAGAAACGACGTGATGGAAAATTTTGTTTCGCAAAATTGAAATTAAGAAGACATTGTAGAAGGGTGGGTATACACACTTGTACGGTTTAAAGAATGAAATTAATTATATTACGGTAATTAAACTCTTTGCGAAACTATCAGTTTTCAAATTGATGTAAAATTAAAATGATGAAAAAGTTCATTGAAATTATTTACGTGTATAGATAGTATATTTATTAGAATGTAATTGTTTTTATTATATAATATTTCTTAGAAGGAACTAATTGTAATTAATGATAATGATAATGATGATAATAATAATAATAATATTAATAATAATAATAATAATATTTAGATATTTTTTAAAATAATCAAGAGCATGTGAATAAATTGTGTAAATATAAAATATGCCTTTTACATTAAATTGTTAATTAAATTTATAACAACAGCATATTACGAACGAAATATATTTCTTCTCTTTTTTTTTTCTTTTTACTAAATAAATACAATTTTAATGGAAATAAAATCCTATATTAACGTATCATTATCTGTAACCAATATAGATTCTTAATTATAACATAAATATAGGTATATAGTATAATACTGCTTTGTTTCTTTTTTTATTTATTTATTTATTTTTTTTTTTTTTTTTCATTGAAGATTAATCTTAATACATTTTAAACAATTTTTATGGACATCATATTATGGTATCGTAAGTTTCGAATACATTGCACATACTCCATTAATATATTCCATTATTTTATTAATTATTTAATTAGATAGATAAATAGTATCGTAGTATTTGATTCAGAAGATAAAGACTCCATTAGTTATAATAATCAATATTTTCAATATGTTCCCTCAGATCGAACGAATAATAAAGATCGACAATATTTTCTTATTTATTTCCTTATATCTATTAGGAAAAAACAACAACAACAATAATAACAACAAAGAAAAAATCAAATTCAAATAGGATATGTATTTTACTAAACTACTTCTTGCTTCGGTATTGAGAGGATATTGCAGAAACGATCGATGTTTCCCCTTTACATCCGCCAACTTTACTATTTTTCATTATTATTTCTCTAATTTAAACAAACAATAACGTTTCTCGATTATTATTAATAAACATATAATAAAAAAAAAGATATATGTATATATATATATATATATATATATATATATATATTATTAAATATGTATTAATTTTATTAATTTTATAAAAATATATATATACATAAAATTAATAAAATTAATATATATACATATATATATGTATGTGTGTATGTTAACAATTCACTCTTATTAATTAAACATTCCTACAATTTATGTGATTATTAATAATGATTGAAAATTAATTTTCACGTAGAAATACATACGACTAATAAAATAATTCTATTGCGGATATTAGGACGATCGTAATTGCATCATATATAATTAATTAATTGATTATTTAATTTAAATATATATATATATATATATATATATATATATATTTATATATACGTATATATTTGTTGTTCTTTATTGAAGATATCTTTCTCGTCGTAATTATTTCATTTTTAAGGCGAGACTTTGAAAAGGATAAAAGAGGGAAATAGAGATAGTTGAATATGGTATCCTCTTTTTTCTTTTTTTTTTTTTTTTGTTTTTGTTTGTTTTTTATCATTTTTTTTTCCTTTCTTTTTTCTTTTTCTTCTTTTTCTTTTTCCCTTATCTTTCCTTTGTGCAAGCAATAAAGTAGAATGATTTATTTGCCGAAGCAGGAAACTGCATTGAAGGCGCATTGCTTCCAATAACTTCGCTTACGTTGGAGATCTCCAATGTCGAGTTGGTTTCTAAGTCGTTTTACGATCTGCTTCGTAAATAGATAATTTATTAGTGCTGCATCGATGCTACCGTCATCATCCACCAACTGCAATGAGGAAAAACGAAAGTATGTATTCTTTCCTTTTCTCTTTTTCTTTTTTTTCGTTTCTCTTTCTTTCTTTTTTTTTTTTTGTTTCTAATTTAAAAAAAAAAAAAAAGAAAATAGACAAAGTGCTTTTACACTTTTTACATTAAAAAAAAAAATATATATATATATATATATGTATTTATTTTCTTTTCTTCTTCTCTTGTTAATTTAAATCATTTTTGTGTATACTATCTTTTCATTCCAGAGAGATTAAAATTAATTTTGTATTAATTAAAAAAAAAAAAAAAAGATTCCGATACATTAATTTTTTAATATAATAATAATAATAATAATAATAATAATAATAATAATAATAATAATAATAATAATAATAAAATTATTCCAATTTAAAATGTAAAATAAATGAAAAAAAAAAATCGTATTATTATATCTTATTATATTATCTTTGTCTTCTTTTTCTTTTTTGAGAAGAAAGAAAAATGTTATTTATTTTTTTAATTAGTGACTTTCAATATATATATATATGTATCATTTAAAATGCTTTCATGAGATTGCTTTAGAAAATATTCTAGTTCAATAAAAATCTCTTTCTCTCTCTCTCTCTCTCTCTCTCTCAATCTATTTATCTGTCTATCTATCTAACTCTCTGTCTATATTGTAAATTGTCTAAACGCGAAATTTAACTTTCAACAAATTCCCTGAAGTTTCTATCTCAGAACATTCGAAAGTACAAAAACACATTCAATCTCTCTTTCTCTGATCGAGAAAACCTTTTAAATCAGCATAAACTTCGATATTGGTTATCTAATATCTATAGTGTTTGAAGAATAAATTATTCTTATGTATGACCATAGATTTCTAAATGTAAACGAAAGATCGCTTCGAGAGAACTGGGACAATGTTAATTCTTAAAATAATTACTTCGAGGAAGAGATAACTTTACTTTGAAATATGAATTTAATTAACGTAAGATACCGATAGTTGTTATAGTTATATCTAAATACACTTGACATACTTAGTTATATTATCATAACAGTGACTACTAACGCTATATCACTATCTACTATCACTATCACTATTGTAAATACATTAACTCTATCCTATATATTTATATTATTGTTACTTTAACTTTAACATTTCAATATATAATTGAATATATAATTGAATATATAATTTATATATATAGCATAGCAACATAGACGCATACGTACATATATTCACGTACACACGGATACAAAAGTTTATGTTCAATTTATACATTCGATCACGCACATACATAGATTTAAATTCAATTCATCCACACACACACACACACACACACACACACATATGTGTGATTAATCGTTATAAAAAAATTCCAAAGACATATAGCTACTTATATTTTTTCAATTTTTCTTTATCACTTTTTATTTTATTAATTTTTTTTTATCTTCCAACGTAATATCATTTCCTTAAGTTTCCTAATTATCAATGTTAATAACAACTCGTGTCAATTTACGCGTACGCGTGACTAATCATTGTCGCTAAAATTTCAAAAAAAGAAAAAAAAAATAAAACAAAAAGAATGCAAGGCGACTTTCTTTTTTCTTTTAAATCTTGTATTTTATTGTTATTATTTCTTTCTTTTTCTCTTTTTTTTTTTTTTTTTTTTTTTTTTTTTTTTTTTGAAATTTCTCTTTCACCTGGTAATGTAATAATCTTTCCACGATATATTATTTTATTTTCCTAGGAAGTTAATTACCGTTTCTCTGATTACTTCGTGAAAAGACGAGCGCGCGACATTTCCCTCGTCAGTTTGAACCCTCAACCTTCAACACCACCAATCCCATCTAACTCAGCCCACCCATCCACCTACTCATTCGTTCTTCGTTCTCTACCGACCTTTCGTTAGAATTCTAAAGCTCGTTTTGTTTTACAAGGAAAGTTTGGATGCAGTTACGTTGCGATAACGAGAATAAGGTTAAAGTATGTTTGCTTGAGCGTAAACGATTCGCGCATCCAAGCAGTTTCAACTCCTCGTTTGCATTCCATGAAAATCTCTTGTCTCCTTGATACATGTATATATATATATATATATATATATATATATATATATATATATATACGTGTATGTATACTAATGATATTATGATATTCTTCTTAGTTAAGTTGAAACGATATCAGCAAACCGTCAACCATGACAAGAAAGTTTATGGAAAGTTAAGCATTTCAACTATTTGTGTTTTTGAGAGGCATATAAACGATACTGTATTTGTATTCTTTAAAATGAAGCAAAAAAAAAGACAAGAAAAAAAAAAAAGAAGATCTTTAAAAAACAGTCATGTAATACAAAAGTTAATGACTAACGAGTAAAAAAGAAAAAAGAAAAAAAGAAAAAAAGAAAAAGTATATCAAACAATTTCTACTTACGCAAATAATTATAAATAGATTATATTAATAGATCTCGAGATAAATTAAAGTAATTCCACGTATGCACGTACGTATTCGAAAAAAAAAGAAAAAAAAAAAAAAAAAAACAAAACATATTTTTTCGATTCTCTAGTAAAATGACTATAGAATTATTAGATCGATCTAAAAAAAAAAAGAAAAAAAAGAAGAAAAGAAACAAAAAAAAAGAAAAAAGAAAAGAAAGAACGAAAGGAAATAAGTTTCGTTCCTTTTTTTCTTTTTCTTTTTTTACTTTTTTTATATCTGACGATGTCTCTCGTTGAAAAGTAACAAAATGGATCGACATAAGGGTGTTTTATTTTTACGATAGTACCATATAAACGAGAAACTCATCTTTACGAGGTATTTCTCTCTCTCTCTCTCTCTCTCTCTCTCTCTATCTATCTTTCTGTCTCTTTATCTCTCTCTTGATCCTTCTCTTCGTTAGAGTTATTACCTAATTCTAAATCTCAATAAACCATCGAAAGGTCTTTTAAGACAATCCTTCGTACATTTTTCTGACGTGGTTTCTCTCTCCCTCAACCAACCCCACTAAACTTTCCACTCTCATCCTTATCCTTTACCCTTTTTTTCTTCCTTTCTCTCTCTCTCTCTCTCTCTCTTATTCCTTTTTTTTCTCTCTTGCATGAATTCATAAAATATATCGACAGTTGGAACCAGTTGAAACGTTCCGTATCGACTTTTCTACGATACAAGCTTTGGAGATCGATTACGTCGATTGTTCATGACGTTTCGTTACTTTCAGCTTTTTCTTCTCTCTCTCTCTCTCTCTCTCTCTCTCTCTCCTTCTTCTTCGTTTTTTATTGTTCCCTTTAATTTGTTTAGCATCATGTTCATTTAGCAAAATTCTAACTTCGTGTATTCTCGACATTTATCAAATAAGCAACGAAACTTTTCTAAATATATATATATATATATATATATATATATATATATCCCGTAGGGAGACATTTAATCGGAATTTTTTCTTAAACGAGATCAGCAAAACGAACGTCGAGTCAGTATTTTGTAAAAGCTTCGTAGATTTTACTTTAGATTATATAGCCTGACATTTTCTAACTTTGCCTTAGGTTGCAATATTTGAGAAAAAAAAAATAAAAAAGAAAGAAAGAAATATATATATATATATATAATGTAATTATATAATTTTTTTTAATAGTATATTATAACAAATGGATTGTATACTGAAACTCAAGAAAAAGAAAGAGAAGAAGAAGAAGGAGGGGGAGAAGGAGAAAGGGGAGGAGAAGAGATCTCGTAAGGTCGATTTGATTTCACCATTTGCATTTTCATACTTGAAAAATTTTCTGATCGTTCGAGTGCAATCGTTTCAAGGGCGATAAAAAAGGAAAAAGAGAAGAAATAAAAATGAAAATGCCGGAAGTTAAAGGAACTCGTGGTTGATTCGATAACCGATAATCCCGTCTTAGTGGATAATCAAATTTTAACAGACGTCCATCCGATTTTCATGTAAACATTAATTTCAACGTGCTTATAAACGTCAAACCGGCATTTCTCTTGTTTCCTGGATCTTCTGTTCTCTTTATCTTTTTCTCTATTTTTTTTCTTTTTTTCTTTTTTTTTTTTTTTTTGTGGAACTTCCCTTTGGACCTTCATATATACTACGAGCATTTAATTCGCAGGATTATTAGTCCGAAATAAAAAGAAAAATAAATAGAGAAGGAAAAAAAATATAAAGAAAGAAGATTGTAACCTAAAAAATACGATATCTGTCAAATAAATCAAAAAAAAAAAAAAAAAAAAAAAAGAAAAAAAAAATTGAAGAGATCTCTGATCAAAGTTCGATCTTCATATGCGATATAATAGGAGAAACATGAACAAAATCGATTGAACATATTTCTATATACACTCACGCGAGCGCGTGATATTTTTGATATTTTTTTTTATATTTATGAAATTTTTTTATTAGATTTTATAATTATGAAATTTTTTTTTATACATATGAAATTATGATATTTTTTTTTATATTTATTTTGATATCAAAAAATAAAACATTCTGGAGTTTATTAAAGAAAACTATAACAATATTACCTTGGGAATAATCAGAAGCGAAATGAAATATTAATTTTCTTATATAACGAACGTTTGATTTATTGAAATCGAATTCAATCTTTAATATTCTACTACGATTTCATCCCTTACGGGAAATGTTACGTAAAAAATGCCGTAACACGTTCTTGGTGTAATCTTTCTTTCTTTCTATCTATCTTTCTTTCTTTGTTCCCTTTTTTTTTCTTTTTTTTTTTTTTTTTAAATACCTTCTTTCATTTCCGTGTTAAATAATCTTGCTAACATCATCATAATAACATCGTGATAACATTTTTTACAAAATTATTTAATCTCTAATTTTTCTAACACTCGAATATGCTCGTGACCATTGAAAGATGAGATCTATATCATGTGGTATAAGAAAAAAAAAAAAACCCCACGAAAAAAGAAAAAAAAAAAAAAACAAAAAAAAAAGCAGTAAAAACAACGAATTCTACAAAAAGTTATTCTAGATAAACTAAAATAAAATATTACTCTATCTGTACGAAGAAAAGCAATTTCTATTGACAAAAAGTATAAACTCAGTGTTCGTCCAAATTAATTCTTTCAAAGACAATACCTTTGCGTGATTGCACGATAGCCTTAAGATAAGTAAAAAAGTAAAAATGTAAGTACGTGCCCAGGAATGAATCTTTCCTGTCATTATCTTATTCGTTCGTTAAATTTTGAAGGTGATCCTGTTAAAAAAAAAAAAAAAAAAAAAAAAAAAAAGAAGAAAAAATATTATTCAATCCGCAATTTTCAGAAGATTCATATTGAAGATTCGTCTCAAAGAGATCTATACGATTATGTCAACACCTATGTTATATCACATTGATAGAAAGAAAAGCGATGAAATAAAATTTTAATATTTTATTAATAAACTCTTTTAACTTAGCTTTCTTTGTTTTCTAATTTTTGTTTTCTTTTTTTTTTTTTTTTTTTTTTTAATTTTGTACTCAAAATATTTCCATACAATAATTATACGCGATTTCGTATCTTTCCTATGGATTAATTCTTCTCATTAATTTATCATAGGATTTGAATAATTAAATAATAATTTCGAGATAGAGAGAGAGAGAGAGAGAGAGAGAGAGAGAGAGAGAGAGAGAGAGAGAAAGAGAGAAAAAAGAGAACGAGGGAGAGCAATCATTTCGTGCGATGTGAACGATAACAATCTCGATGTTGTACAAATACGATAGCAAACGCGGTAAACCACTTTTCGTATTTCCCAAATGACAGTACTTCGAAAATAAAGAGAGACAGAGACAAACAGAGAAAGAGAGAGAGAGAGAGAGAGAGAGAAATAGAGAAATAGCGTAAATGGGAAATACTCAACGCAAATTTGATAGACATAGATAATCGTTTTGTGGTTTCAATCGAAAGTGACAAAATTATATGGTACACGATTATAAGGGACGAACAAAGTTTCTATGACGTGTTTGACGCGTAAAATTAGTAGTTCAATTAACAAAGAAGTTAAAATATCAATGGTGTAACTAATTAAAAGAAGAAGTCCGTTGCATTGCCGCAGGAAATTACGTTACGTGCTACATGAATCTCCTGGTTGCTTTTAATACGTAAAAGGTCATATTTCCAAATTGCACGTATATATTTAATCCACTATCAGTGCTTTGCGTCAGCTTGTAAATTCGATCATTTCATCTGTATTTGTAGAATATTAATATATACATACGTATGTACGTACATACATACATACATACATACATACATACATAAGTATATAATTAATTACGAAATAAATAAAATTCTTATTTCCTTTTTTTTTTCTTTTTTTCCAAAAAACTTTTTTCCCAGATCGAAGGTATCCCGATTTTTTTTTTCTTCTTGTCACTTAATGGAATGAATTGATTGGAAAAACAAAAACAGAGACAAAAATCAATCGCAATTTTTGTGGCTACCTTTAAAACCATTTTCAAAAGAGGAAAGACCGTACGGTTTTCATTTTTTTTTCTTTTTTTTTTTTTTTGAATCTCCCCTTTCTTTTTTATCTTTCAATTGTCAATTAAAAAAAAAAAAAAAAAAGGAAAGAAAGAAAAAAAAAGAGAAAGAAATAAATTCTTATAATATACAACGTAAAATCGTACTGCTTTCGTGCACAAAAACGTGATTCACGTTTATAACTCAATGCCTCGTCGTTCATCCAAAGAGCTCTATCTTTCTCTCTCTTTTTCTTTTTCTATGGCGATAAAAAGTTACTCTTTTAAAAAAAAATATATACACGTATATATCAGTGAAATTGAGTCACGACAAAGAGTGAATGCAGAGATTTACTCTCTACCTCTCTCTCTCTCTCTCTCTCTCTCTCTCTCTCTCTCTCTCTTTATAAAATCCATGCAACAGGTTTCTATATCCCTCATTTCTTTTATCTATTTTCTTTTTGTTTTTTTTCTTTTTTTTTTTCTTTAAACAGATATCCAGTCAAAAAGATTCATTTTTTCGAGCTCTTTCATGCGTAATATCGAAAGAAATTCTAAGAAACGATCAAAAAAATATTAAAAGGATATTGTTGATAACGGGATGATAAAATCATTATATATATATATATATATATATATATATATATTTTTCTCTCTTTCTCTCTGTTTCTCACACACACACACACGAACATAGAATTAACATATTTTAATTTAATTTTGTGTGTATATGTGAGAAAGAGAGAGAGATAAATACAATGACGTGATTAATAAATAAAACGAAGATAATAGATAATAGATAATAGATAATAATAAAATTATTACGAACAATCTTTAAAACCAATGAGATATGCAATATATTATATATACCTATTATACACACATATATGTATATATATATATTTGTGTGTGTGTGTGTAAAATAATTTCGTTGAGATAACGTTCATTATTAAAATCACTAATTAATTATCAAATTTATTATTAATCCTTCAATTCGATTTTAACGATTAAAGTTAGATAAAATCGTTTGATCTTGTTATTTCGTGAAGGACATTCGATAAATTATAAACAAATAAATATATCGTTTATAAGGATAAAGAGAGAGAGAGAGAGAGAGAGAGAGAGAGAGAGAGAGAGAGAGAGAGAGAGAGAATAAGAGAATGAGATAGATAGATGGATAGATAGAAACGAAGATATAATACGGAATATCGATTATTACGATAGGAAATATCGAAATATCATCAAACATATCCCCATAATCGTAAATAAACAGGGATAGAGAACTCGTAAAAAGTAGCATGGCTTATCTTTTTCTTCTTTTTTCTTTTTCCTTTTCTTTTTTTTTTTTTTTTTTAGATCCAACTAAAGAATTTAATCGATAAAAGTAACTTGATTAACTTCTACCAAGTAAACATTAACTTCTTGTTATATGATATACGTATGCATGTATATATTTATTCATTTTTCGTAAAAGGTCTTCTCATTAAAGTCTTGCTTCTCATTAAAGCTACTCGTTTTACTTTTGTCATTTAAATATGCTCCAATAGATTATATACATCTCTCTCTCACTCTCTCTCTTTCTCTCTCTCTCTGTCTCTATCTCTTTTTCTACCTATCTATCTATCTATCTCTCCCTCTTTCTCTCTATCTCTCTCTCTCTCTCTCTCTCTCTCTCTCTTTGTCTCTCTTTTTTTCATTGAAATATCAAACGGAACGCGGGATTGCGTCTCCATTCGTTCGTTCGATTATTTAATCTTTCTCTTTCTCTTTCTCTTTCTCTCTCTCTCTCTTTCTCTCTCTCTTTTTCTTTCTTTTCTTTCATTTCGATTTTTGTTATTTCAAATAGATCTATTTCTTCAAAGCAATACGTTAAATACTTTCGATCGAAACTCATCTACAATTTGTGCCAATTATACTTGTCGTTTAATTATTAAACTAATAGTGATTATGTATATATATATATATATATATATATATATATAGAGAGAGAGAGAGAGAGAGAGAGAGAGAGATAATGAAAGATAAAATAAAAAATATTTTAATCAAAAAAATATATATATATATATTTTTGTATTTGACTCTTAACTATGATTTTCCGAGCCATTTTAATTTTCGCTAGCCTAGAAAAAATATTATCCTAGGGAATAACTTATCCTAGAGATAACTCGCATACTTTTTCTTTTCTCTGATATAAAAATCTTCGATTAAAGTGATTAAACGTGATAAAACTTTATATTAATCGTTTGAAAGTAATTAATATGAATTTTTATTAAAAGATCACACTCACGTCTACGTCGTTCAAAAGTACATCCTTTTCGGGTGTTGGTATCGCCGTAGTCCAACCAATCATAACGATCAAGAACATCGTCAATATTACTGCACCCCGTAGCGACTGCATCTTTCTTTCTCTGAAAAAAAAAAAAAAAAAGATAAAAAAACAGTGAAATTTAATCGATCGACGATATACATCTCACTAAAAATCATTTCACATATTCAACGACTTCGACGAGTATTGCGTTTACAAAAAATGGAAAAAACAAAAGATGGAGAAAAAAAGTAAAATAGATGAAAATAAAAAGGAAAATATAAAATAAGAAAACAAACAAATATCTCGAGTTTTCAAAGATTTATCAATGAAATCTCTCGAATTAATCTTTTACAGAGAAATATTTACGAATTATGAATGAACAAATACTACATATATATATATATATATATATATATATATATATATATATATATATATATATATATATATTAAATGCCATAAAGAACGTGAATTTTAAGCGAGCAATTTTAATTGGCCTCTTCCAATTGCATAAAAAAAAAAAAAAAGGAAAGAGGAAAAGGAGTAGGAGTAGGAGGAGGAGGAGGAGGAGAAAAGAAAAGAAAAAGTAGAAAAAGTAAAGAATAGAAACATTATTAACGGGCTTAAAAGGTTATCACCAACGATTTAGGTGAGACCTTTTTCCGACTCAGCGTGATTTTTGTCAAAGACCTTCGTTAATGCGTCGTTACGATCTCCTACTGGCAGCTATAAAAAAGAATAGAAATAGAGAGAGATGGAGAGAGAGAGAGAGAGAGAGAGAGAGAGAAAGGGATAGGGCGAAAAAGGGTGGAGAAAAGGGACAAAGTTTATTCCCATAAACGATATCATTTTGTTATATCCCACTGATATCGAACAAAACGAAAATGTTTTCTTCCTCGTACTGATACATATACATACATATATATATATACATACATACATACACACACACACACACACACACACACATATATATATATATATATGTGGTAATACTTTCATGTTTTTATAAGATATTATATGAATATTTTTGTAAGCTTTTGTGTATGCATATACATAGGCATATATGTATGTACGTATATATATATATATATATATATATATATATAAATACGTATGTATGTACTTGTATATGGATGTATAGATGTATATATGTAAATGTACATATATATATATATATGCACGCATGTATATACGCATGCATATATGTATGGATGTAGATATGCATATAGATATGCATGCATGTATGTATGTATGTATATGTATATATTACAGAATCATTTCAACTACTACATACGTGTATGCTTGTAAATATGAATAGGTTGTCGTTCAGCATTTTTATCAGTTTCCAATATGATATCGAATTCATAGATTTATAATGTACGTACGTACAGATACTACGTGTAATGATTACTAAAGTTTTGTATACAAAAAAAGAAAAAAAAAAGAAAAAGAAAAAAAAAGCAAAAAAAAGAGAAAGAAAAAAGACTAAAGGAACAAAATAAATGAATAGAAAATAAAAAAAAGAATAAAACGAATGATCGAACGAAAGATAACGAAATTTAATTCGTATCAAACTGGTAAAAAAAAAAAAAATAAAAAATATACACGCGCACACACATATATATATAATTTATACAGATCGAATTCTTCGCCATTTTCTTTTCTTTTTTTTCTTTTTTTTTTTTTCCTCCCCGCGATAACAAAAAAATATTTTGCCTGTCGATAATGTTAACGTCAAATCAAATTTTTATAATGAACGTGGTTTTGAATTATTTCCATTCATCTCGAATACGTCAACTGGTATATCTTTATAATTCACATTCGTTTAATTCTTATGAATTTTTAAATTGAAAATTTAATCTTCCTTAACATCGATAAATTTATTTCTTTTTTCCAAATAGTCTATATTTTATTAATCAATTGTATATCCGCTTATTGTATCCTCTCTTAATCGTATCAATATTAAGAACGACAATATTCGATATAACGTGTCGATAATAAGATTTTCGTATATAGTTTATCGATAAATGACATTTTTCTCGGCCCCTAATGCTAGGCAACCTGCACTTACAGGTATGTCATAAGATGTAACATACGCGCAGGGGTTTATATGTATATATATATATATATATATATATATATATATATATATATATAAAAAAAAAGATCTTTCCTTTTTTCTTCTTCTTTTTTTCTTTTTAAGCTACGCTACGTCCGTCCGAAAAAAAAGTGCGAATTTAAAATTTCTTTCTCCAATATTAAACGAATTTCAAAGAGTCCATATTTCCGTCGACATGTTAAAAGGTTTGGAATCGTTCTTTCTCGTTTCTGTTTTTTTTTCTTTCGCTTCTATATTTCTATCTCTTTCTTTCTCCTTTCATGGTCGTCCTTAATCAAGCCGTAAAGCTGCTTACATGAGCTTTTAAAGCTTCCTGCAAAAAGGATAGGAATTCTCTCTCTCCCTCTTCCGCTCTCTCTCTCTCTCTCTTTCTCTCTCTTTCTCTCTCTTTCTCTTGCCCTCTATTTCTTTTCTCTATCCTTCTATTAGAAAAACGTCAACATATAAAGAGAAAACGTATCGGTATGAAACGAGCTAGCAATCTAATCGTGCTTAGCCGTCATCTCTAATAGATTTCTTTTTTATCTTGCCATTTTCGTTTCGATCTCGAGAATAAATATACCATCGTAATCTAACTAAGTCGGTATAAAGTGGAAAAAAAAAGAAAAAAGAAAAAGAAAAAAGACGAAGAAAATTATTTAATGTCGAACAATTTCGAAAAAAAAATAAAAAAAAAAAATAAAGAGAGAGAGAGAGAGAGAGAGGAAGAAAATCGACATTTAATTTTTGACATTTCATAATTGAAGAATTTCATGATTGGTTTGAAATAGTTCGATCGATCGATCAATCGTCGATGTGTTTTCCTTTCGTAGCTTTTTTTTTCCTCTCGAAATAAATAAATCCAATCTGAATGGACGCTTAACCATTACTAACTTGCATTCGACAAATAATAATTCAATACAAATGGATAAACCAGAACAGAGGACGTATCTTTTATTAAAAACCAATGTCCTCTTTATCAAACCAAATAAATGAAGTCACATTCAATTGAATTAATCGATTAGTTAAATCGATTGAATAAATTGATAGCACGAATCAATGATCGCGCGTATTATGTCTCAAAAAATTAATCGGTAATTAATTAATTTAATAATCGTTTGTCTTTCAAGATAATATATTGTTCAATATAATAATTTTTTACTCTTTTTACTGTTTTTTCTTTTTTTTCTTTGTCAAACACAAGCATTTAATTCAGATTCAACGATCACACGTATTATATATCGCGAAAGTTGAATAAAATTTTTCTCTCCTTTTCTTCGTGTCCTTTTTCTTTTTTTTTTGGGGGGGGGGGTTTCTTCTGAATTTCTTTTTTAGCAATCGTAAAAAAAAAAAGAAAAGAAAGGAGATATAAAGAATTCAACGGAACGAACTTGAAAGTTGAAAATTTTCGAATATTTCATCTCTCTAACTTTTCTCGTACCGTTCATCCTTTTTCTCGTTCTTTCTCATTCGCGTTAATTTTCAATACCGTCGATGATAGTTCCGAAGTCTTTATTCCCGAACGTTCGATACACCGTCGTTCGATATTATTTATTGTTGTTAACAACGATAAACGATGATCCTCGTTGATGAGCATTACACGTTTAATCGAACTTTCCTGAACTATCGAATAATATAATCGCGAAGGTTCGAAACTACGATGCGAAACTATTCATCGTCTTATGCTTTGCCGAACAAAGATTATGGAAAGTTTAATTGAAAACTTACAATAGAGGAAAATGCGCGTAGAAAATTAACGAAAACATTTGTATTATGTAAATTCATATAAACAAAATTTAAAAAAAAAAAGAAAAAAAGAACATTTCAAATTCAAAAGTTCAACATTAACGATGTTCTTTTATTTCTCTTATTCGTTCGTTAATTGTCATTATTTATTAAAGTGAACGATTTGGGTGATAATAATAATAATAAAAATAAAAAAAGAAAGAAAAAAGAAAAAGAAAAAGAAAAAAAAGAAAAAAAAAATCCATTAGAATTTTCGTGTAAATCGTATTATATGGGGCTTCGGTAAAGATTTAAATACTGAACAAATATTTGTTCAATCGTCCATGCTTATCCATCATTTCCTTATTACTCGAGGAAAACGTCAAACTTATACGAAGTTCCATTTTTTTTCTTTTTTTCTTTCTTTCTTTCTTTCTTCCTTCCTTTAGTCGATGCAATATCAACGAACGAACCAACCACGAATCCCTCCCAAGTCCAAAGTATGTATATATATATATATGTATAATGCTTTCCTAAGGGTGAACGAAGTAGGTAATACGACGTGAGTTTGATTGACGGACACAAGCCCTTTACAAGGCAATGAGTGTATGTCTGTTATAACAGAAGTGAAGAAAAAAAAAAAAAAAATAAAAAGAAAGAAAAAAAATGACCATAATATAAGATCCAATAGTAACATATGTACTAGGAATTTTCATTAATTTTATTCGTACGAAATGTTTTTTTTGTTTCATTGCAAATGAAGTTTTTCTTTCGAGAATCGAACAATCTCTTTCCTTTTTCGTTTCTTTCTTTTCTTCGAAGGAAAAAAAAAAAAAAGAACAGGGAAATGAACTTTTGAAAAGTAAAAACTTTATTTTAGGTAATGTAAAAATTTTCGTGTGAAAACAAAAAACTCCTTCCAATCTTTCGAGCTTTTGTTTCTTTGTTAAGGAAAAAAAAGAAGAAAAAAAAAATTCTTTTAACGATAAACAAACGAAGAAAATTTTTACAATCTCTATCAAATAAATATAACAAAAATTTCGCATAAATCGATTAACGCGCGAACGTTTCTTTTTTTTTTTTTTTTTTTTTTTTTTTTTGATAATTTCTTCCCTCATTCTTTTTTTTTTTGCACTCTCCAAAAATTCAATTCGATTCGATTCGATTCGATTTGATTCGACTCGCTTGAGGTAAAATATTGAATGCAAATGTTTGCCACTAATAAATTGATAGTAACCACTTTATAGAAGAGATATATCGAATCGATCGGTAAA